CCTCCCAGAGAGGGTTCATAGAATACGAAGCGATTCCGGAGGGCAATTCAGACTCGGGGTCCAAGAGATCGTGAGTCCTCTCCCAGGCTTTTCCGGGTGGTAGAAGCTTAGTCCATACTGACTTCTTCAAACAATGTCTGACCAGCTCTTGAGACACCGACGCCTCGACATCTGCTAAGACTCCAGCCTCGCCCCAATTTGAGGCGTCGGTAGCGCAGAGTCTTCCTCGAGGAGAGGCTCGCAGGTCGGTGCAGGCGAATGGGATCAAAAAGCAGCTGACTAGAAGTTCACTCTTCAGAGCTCCGCTCAACTTTATGATGTCATCTTTCTCACGCCCAACGCAGCTCTGAAAAATCAGGTCTAGGATGCAAAAGATTCTTCTTCTGAAGAGAAACAAGGAAATCAATGAACCAGACACGATCTGCAAAAGGTCAACTGTGCTATAACCAAGTCGAACTATTTGAAGTAGGATACCAAAAAGTGGAATAGCTCTCTTCAGGGTCCCACGAATCAAACCTCGCCTCCCATTAAGGTCAATGCCCCAAAACGAAGCGGCTTCCTCGTCTTCAAAGCCTTTCTCAGGATGACTCACCAAACCTACCTCCCCATACCTTCTCTCAATCTTCTTTGCCAGCAAAGCCCCATGAGAAGGTTTGACGGACACATCGCGGACTTTGCTAATGGATACATAGTCATCAATAACAATCCCAACAAAATCCGGCCCTCGCGGCACTGGGCAGCTCAAACACACCAGATTGCCTGGATGAGCAGCGCCGCATCGAAGCGCCAGGCTGAGGTGGGCGGTCTGGGCCAAGGTCACAGCTTGTGTGTCCCCCATTGCTAAAGTGGCTAGGCACCCAAATACGGTAGGCTCATTCTCGAGTTCAGGGGGGAAGCAATCCAAATGCTTGAGAAAAGAAGGAGGAACTCCACCGCAAAGAACATTTCTTCGAGCTCGTTCTTCACCAACCAAAAATAGATGGTAAAAATCTCGAAGGTCTGAACCTGAACTTCTAAGGATAAAACCAGGAGGGAGGTAAATCTTGGTGAGCATCTCGGCAGACCCCAAGGACTTGATCCAGCCTTCCAGCGGGATCTCCAGGGCATTCGCAGGGCGGGAGTCTAAGATCAGGCGATCCTGGTTGATGCTCTTCACCGCAGAGAACATTCCACTTGCAAAACGAGGTTCAATCTCATCTCTCCTAACAATCTTCAATCTTTCGCACTGGTCAAGTAATTCAAACAGTCTGATCTTGGCTTCAAAAGAACAATGCATCCTAACATGGGGCACGGTCCCTGTGAACTCTGCTGCGGGCACCCGACACTGAAGTGGGTATTGATAGATCCGAGCACCTGCAGGATCCAAATAAGGCACAGGGTCAAAACTAGGGGTACCAACAAAGCGAAGTCGATCAGGATCAAGCTCCTTGAAGGTGCTAAAGAGAGGACTACTCGATTTGCCCACTACCTCACCAACATCGGCAGACAATCCTTCTGACCTGCTCGGAGTATTTCGTGCTCCAAAATAGTCACTCTTCAAATCACAAGAAATGGACTGAAACCTTACCGTCAAAAACTTCAAGGCCTCCTCTATATTCTCGATCTTTGGAGCTGCACGCCCCATAGACTCCGGACCGACCTCTTTGGCAATGAGCCAGTCTTCCAAGAAGGCCTCAAGACGGCGAACGATACCCCATTGAACAGCATTCAAACGACGTCCAGGGAGGAGAAAAGAAGGACAGCTCCGAGGCCTACCCAAGGTGGTATAGTTAAGAGCAATCACCACGACGTTCATCATCTTTTTCCGCGATCTCTCCAGGGCGTCTCCAACAGCCTGAGGCCTCAAGACCTCAGGGTAGGGCAGCGGGAGAGGGAAGCCACCTTGCGGGCCATCTGAAACCTCCTCTGTGCGAGGGTGGTGATGAACAAGGCCAAGAGAAGAAACTGCGAACCTGCCGAGGCGGCATCTGCTGTTCAGGACCAGGCGGAGGCAACTCTCAAAGCATTGTCTCGCCAGGTAGATGCCAGCTCGAGTTCCAGGAATGTGCATTGAATTGTCACTTCGTCCCCTAGCATGCAACGAACTGAGAAAGGGCGTTCCTGGGACGGTGGAGGATTCCCCTTTCACAACACTTGGACTTTCTATGCTGCGGCTTCTTTCTCCTCGCCTCCCGAGGAGCTTGGCTTTCCTTTTCCTTTTCCCCCTGCCTTGGCTTTGGCTTTGGGTTTTGGGGGTTTGTCTGAATCTTTCTCTTCGTCTTTCTTCACCCCCTTCCCGCCGAGTCTTCTCTTTGCCTCCTGGTAGCTGTCCAACTCCCGAACATAGTGAAGGAGCAGGTCCAGCCACCTGGGATCCAGGAGGGCAGAATGCTGTCTCTCGTGGATGCTGGGGTTCTGATGCGATGAGAACGAATGATAAGGCGGGGGAGCTTCCAGAAGGACTTGTTGAGCTAATACCCAAGATCCAGCATCGATAGAGCTCTGGTCTGCTGCGCTCAGGAGGAGTGCGCACCGAGCTCGCGCCTGGTCCACTTCTCCAGCAATCAGGCAATCCCAAACCATCGGACGTGGCCAGTGTAGTTCTGCACCCGAGATCTCGACTCTAGCCAGCCCCGGACCGTTCCTCCTGCAGTTGGCTCTCCCGGACGAATGGGTCGAGCTGCAAAGTCTGAATGCAGATTGGACTCGATGCTCTCGAATAGGGCTTTCGGGTTCTCTGTCAGCTGCCTCTTCAACACTCGTAGCGCTGCAGCTTTCTTTGAACTTCCCAAGCCAGATCCTTCTATAGATCCTTCGCTGCCTTGGCCAAGGTCGAGAAGATGTTCCAGCTGGTCGCCTTTCTTCTTTGATTTCTGATTTGCAAGATGGGAACAGACCTTGGTCAGTTTGACTATGGCCCGAGCGACTCCAGTGTCTGAGGATGAGGCTCCTGTCGACCCAGCGTCGGCATCCGGCACAAGCTCGTCGCCGTCGTCCTCCGAGTCGGACAAAGGGTCCCGGGGTTTCCCAGTTCCGGGCCGAGGTAGGTCCTCCATCTTCGAAGGCCTGCTGGCTAGCAAGCCGGACATCTCCTGAAGGTGAGCCTCTGGTACCCCTGCTTGAAGAGCTGCATCGACGACCGAAGGGTCCAGTCCTGCGAAGGAAACCCGTCGACTTGGATTCTTCCGCAAAGCACTTGCCCGGGGTGTAGCCGGGGGAGTAGGGCTTTTCCGAGCGTCTTGAGACGTGTGAGATTTGCCGGACCTGGTCTTCTTTTCCCGGAGCTCCATGAGAAATTCTCGAATCTCCCCAAGGCCTGCCTCGACCTTGGAAAGTCTTCCAGACAGGTCCCGATCTCTTGTAGCATCTCCTAGTTCTCCTTGAGGGCCGGATTCGGCAGTGAGGAATTCGAACTTCTCCTGAACCAGGTTGACCAAGCCTTCTGCATAAGGAAGGCTGACAACTGCGAGTCCAGGAGCCTTGAAGCCATAGTCCACGTCCAAGTCGTCCATGAATTCGACCTGAGCCAGCATATCTTTTGCGAGGATGCCGACCCAGACTTTCATCTGTAAAGTAGCTTCGGGCTCGTCTCGAGCCTCTCCATGACAAATAGCTACAGAACATAGCAAAGGCCGCGACAATGTCCGACTGGGCAGAAGCCGCGAGGAAACACGTCTGTTCCAAACTTCAAATGGGACAGCGCACAAAATGGATTCTTCCTGCTCCGCAATGAGAATGATCGCAGAGAAGGAAAGCTCGTCAGCCAAGAGGATCCGGCCAACTTCGTAGTGATAATTCGTGTGTCCACTCTCGTAGACAAAGGAGAGGCTAGGAAGCCCCTCGGAACCACGCTCCGCACCCTCGTCGAGGTCAAGGGCCTCGGAGCGATCACCTTCAAGGAACTCTTCACTGGTCATCTGGCGCGTCAGGCGCCGAGAAACCAGCTCCAGCTAACGCTGCCTTAACTTCTCGCTGCGATGGGAGCCCAACAAAGACCGAGTCACCAAAATCTCCAGATGAATCAGCACAGATGGCCTTGACGTCCGTCCACCTAGTAAAAAGCTTTACCGGATGAGTGAACACCTGACCCCGTCGGTCCTTGCAAACGATGTAGATTTTGCTGGCCTGCTTGATGCGATCCCTTCCACTAGGACCACGAATCTCTCCCAAGATCGCCCTCCTGAGAAAGGTTCCTACCTGGCGAGCAATCTCTTCTCGTTCACTCCAGCTCTGAGCGGGGCTCACGATCGGGCCACCGGAGGGGGTGGTCTGATGCACAGCACTTGAAGATCCCCTCTGGGGGTATGCACCGGGATGGGTTCCGGGGCTTGAAACAAATGAAAAACTGCTCTCTTCTGCTTCCAATTCCAAGGCGCGAACCTTCTCAGTGAGCAACTGAACAAGCTGAGACACCCGGTCTAGATCTTCCCTGACTTCACTCAAAGAGGATCGCAGCTGTTCACTCATAAAGGACACGATAAAAAGATCTACCGGCCCGCCCTCCAGTCAAGCAGCTGAAGATCAGTCGCCTCCACCTGTCTCTCAAAAGCACTGCTAGATCCAACAGCGGCCCCGCCAAAAGACCACAAAGCAATCCAGCAAAGAAGATCTCTTGGTTGTGCAAATCACGCAGGGAGAAGTCCCACCCTAAGTCTGGACAAGTACAGAGATCCTCGGCCAGCGGAAAGGGACCTGGGGTACCAAGAAAACCCTGTGCGAGGGTAAGAAGAAGAGTCGATGCGGTACCGCCGGCCGCTCCGACGGCTAGCCGATGGGGCATGCGAAGCTTGAGTCCTTTGAAGCTGCGGCCGGAACGAAGGTCATGAGGTTCATAAATATATATTGATGTGAGACTGACAACTACCCTAGCCCTCCAAACCCGACGTATAGTAATACCAAATACCACTGCGCTGCCCCAGTCGAAGCCACCAGCAGGCCACCCACACGACCCGCATAGACTCACCATAAATACCGAACAGATCGGATCGGATCTGATGATCCTTTGGACATCATGCAGTATCTCAAGTGGAAATCTGGATCTCAAGGAACATCAAGGAACCATCGCCCACCTCTTGGAACTCTTGGAGATTCGCTTCAAGCGAGTGGCCATCCAGCGAACTGCCTGTGTAGCCGGCCAAGATGAGATCATCAAATGGATCCCGAACAAAGGCCAGCGTGAAATCATAGCTGTTGCATCCTGCCCGGTGGCGATCGATTTTCTATGGAAAAAAAATAAGAAAAAAGATCCACCAAACCAAAAATCGTGAAGAAGAAGTTGTTCCCTCCCCTCACATCCGGGTGGCCCTTTTTGCTTCTTGACACCATGGGTGACTGATTCTTCTTTCAGACATGGCTCACCGTGCCTCGCTGCAGCGTCCAGATCAGCTCGCCGCTCGCTGCGTCGAACTTCATCGCAAAGACGTCGCTCTCGCCGGCGTTCTCGAAGCCGTCCAGGGCACCTTCCGGCGGAACGGACACAGTAGCATCCGACGGTTACTAGTAGCGATGCCAGGAGCCCCTAGTAGCGTCCTTGTTAGTAGTAAGGCCAGGAGCCCCTAGTAGCGTCCTCGTTACTTAGTAGTAATGGCCTCCAACCTTATACTAGTGATGGCCTCCAACCGTTCGTAGCGTCCGAACGCTGTTACTAGTAGATGTGCGTTTCTAGCAAAAACGGAGGAAAGACTGCACCACCTCGGTCTGCTCGGGTTCACCGCGCACCGCCGGGGAGGTCAAACGGGTCGCTCCGGCTTCCGCCGCCGGTGGACGTGAGGTGAAAGCGCGGTCCGTCCCGCCCGGTATGGGGTGGATGGGGTGGCCCGGTGCGGCCAAGAGGAGGACAAGAGTCGGGCATCCATCATGGGTGGGTGAAAGGCCTCCAAAAACCCATCGGCCAATGGTAGCAAACTCCTTGTTCCAGGGTGGTGTGGGGGGGGGCAAATCACCTTCATATGAACCAAACCATCCATCTACTCAACATGGAATCATATTCTGGATGTCCTCTATCATAGATCCCAACTGCTTGACAAGCTTTGAAAGAGGGGAGGCTTGTATCATGGATGCTGCAATCACCTTCCCTGCCGTCCGGACTTCCAAGTTCCTTGGACTCCCCCGAACTCCGCCCCCGAACTCCGCGCCGCGCGCCTCGCGTATCCCCGGCCAGTAGAATCGCATCCTCCGTGGCCTGGTGACCACCGGACCGTGCGCGGAGCATGACGATGGTGCGTCACTGTCACAGAAATTCACGGATGCCAGGGGCCACACATGGCCCATCAAAAAAGAATGGTTTTCCCTAGAAAAACATTGTTTTTGTAACCTTTGTTTTTCATGGTTTGGTGAGGGCCCCTGGTGTTTCGTGTTTTGGTGGCGAGTTGGCGCACGCGATGCAGAGTGGGCAAGGGTGGCATACTATTATTCATGAAGCGAGTCAGAAGCAGCATCTATGTGCGTATATATGTGTGTGCGCTCTCACTTGTGTGCTCTCATATGTGCGCTCTCATCTTTGGCCTCCAGCTTTCAGCATCAACGGCACTGAGCAACGGGCACAACACTTGATGTCGGAGCCGAATCCACTCCCTTTGGTCGCTACATGAGATTCCTGTCCTCACGTTCTTTTTTCGTGGCCTGTTAGTACGTACAGTATGAGGCTACAGTCGTCCCTTGCGACTGTATCAGTGACCTGTTGGTACCGAGTACAGTGCGTGGAATATCAGTCTGGGCTAGTCTAGTAGTACGATTGACGGACCTTGTTCCTTGCCTCCGCGGAAGAATTGCCTTGTTCTTTCTAGCGAAAGGAACAAAAAAAACATGCACGACAAACTTCTAGCACACGGCAGACTCGTCCAACTCTGGAAAACCAGTCGACTATTCGGTCTGACTAGGTCACCCAAAAAGGAAGATCCTGACACCTTCAGTGCTGCAAGAAAAATGGTTTATGGACTTCTAGGGTTAATATAGGCCCTTATAGAGGTCAAGGGGTCTCCGTTCACTACCCCGACTGGGGGTGCAGGAATGCATTGATTGCTTACTTCTTTGCGAACTCAACTTCTAGCACGTCGCGGTGCGACCATAGGGGCGACGTCATAGGGTGGAACGCCTGCAGGTGGCGGGCCATCTGCCAGTTTCCACCACGATAGGTCCACCCAGCTGCCATCCGCGGGCGCGACAGAAGGAGCGCGCAAGAGCTGGCGAGCCATGGCAACCACATGGGAATCGACCGAGATCTGACCGAGAGACGTGCAGCACGTCTCGTGCTGCTTGCCATGGCTTCGCTTTGATGTTGGTGGGTCGGAAAAGTGGGAGACAAAGTTCATCAACCAGAAACACAAAGAAACGAATCGACCCACCATCTCTCATCTGGAATTCAATTGTCCTACATGTGGTCCAGTGCTTTCTTCACCAACCCCAAGCACTTAAGACTGACCGCTTCCGAAGCACAGTGACCGCTGTGAAGGCGACTGGTTCCTTCCTTGCAGCTTGATCCTCAGGTGACCTTTGGAGGTCCACATGCGGCCCTTCGCGGCGCTGACCCCCCCGGAAACCAACATGACATGTAGGTCAACAACGTTGGTCACTGGGACCTGGCGCAGTTCTTCTTCGGGGAAAAGCGTTCCGAGAAGAACGGGAAAAAAAAGAAACGGTGCGTGAATCCAGCAGACTCAAGTGGAATGTCTGACAAAGGGACCTGTCGTTCGAATGCCGCTTTGGTTCTCTCGTCAGTCTGTGAGCGCCACCCAGATGTCCCACTCACCAGCGAAGCGTTTGGCACCGGACGACCACCCCGTTGGCACCCTCGGCGAGGCGCGATCATGTTCTCTGCCGTTGGCACGAAGCGAACAAAGATTATATACTTACCAGGGGCCCCACATGGCCCATCAAAAAACATGGTTTTTGTATGTAAAAACCTGTGTTTTTCATGATTTGGTTCAGGCCCCTGGTATATATACTTATTCTTGTTTAGCCTATTTAGCTTTGTTGCGAAGCAACCCTGATTTTTTACATCGCAGCGTGTCATTCACATAGGCCTGGAAAACTGGGTCGAACGGCGACTCACCACGTGTAGTTTGATCTTATTCCCAGGTTGCTTTTACAATCTATGAGCTATGAGGTACCCCGAATGTAGGATCTTGATTAATAACCCCCAATTTCAATTGGAAATCCTTTTCATATGGAGGGTTGGTTTATTAATCAAGAGTCTACCGAGTCTACATTACAAGTCCAGTCGGGCCAAGTTTTCCACCTGGTCCGACTGACCTCATTGAGTAGCCCATAACCCATTCCCATCCGCTACCCACCTCCACCAGCACGCCCTTCAGCGCAGCAGGCGGTGCACCCTTCGGCGTCAACGCGCAAACCAGCTGCGGCAGCAACACGCCGCTGCCACCCAGGAGCGCCACCGCGGCACCCGCCTGGAGCAGCGGGTCAACCCTGATGGAAGACCCGTTGGACGGGTGAAAACGGCTACCCATGGGTTACATGATTACATTGGCTACAGAAGATGGGTCTTGAATGTTTAATGTATAATGATCTCAATATAATCTCAAGCAATATGGTGTAACATGGTTTAAACTACTTTTACTTTTCCCTCGGCTCGGCTCGACTCCAACTTCCCTCCACCGCACCAGCTTCGCCGACCACGGCTGCGCTCTCTGCGGCGCGCGACTCCGCGACGCACACAGCAGCCGCGGGGGGCCCAGTTCCGTCGACGCCAGCAGAGCACCCTCCTGGCGCGACACGCGACACGCGGTCGGCACGCGCCCGGGCCGAAAGCGAAGGGGGGCGGAAACTGAGCTGAAGCGAGCCTCGGAACTCCTCCGGTGACCTTTGGGTTGAAAAACCAAGCCCCAAAGGTGTCATGGCAAAAAGCGAGCTCGAGGACCACGTCTTCACCCCACTTTCGCCCCTGCAAGACCACTCCCCTACGTCATGCGTTCGGCGCCGGGTTCGTCGGGTGGACCTGATCGCTCACGGTGAAGTGGGCCACATACCACGCCTCGGGCACCACCGGCCACCGCTGGCCTGACGGTGGTGGGGAGGCCGCGGTGGCCGCGGGCGGGCGACCCAAATGGGGGATTGAACACACACGAAAGACACCTGAATGAAGGATCCTTAAGGTCTTAGGAAATATCATATTGTAGAATGTAGACTCTTAGATGATATGTAGACTCCCCCATATGAAGAGGATGTCCAATGAAAAAATTGTGAAATTTTACTAATCAAGAGTCTACATTATGTTATTTAATACACACTTTGGTGATTGTAGGTGATTGATACCAAAAGCATGAGCACATGCGGCTCAGTTTTAAGATGTTTTAAGGCACATCGAACATCTCCAAGAATGGGCTCATGCTTTTCTTGAATTAGCCAAAGTTCTTGCCATATCATAGAACTCTATGGGAAACGCTTTCTCAAAACCAGATTGGTCTACTAATTGTAGACTCTTGATTAATAAAACATAATAAAACCACCCATATTTACCAGGACGTGCAATTCAAAGGGAAGGGTTTATTAATCAAGACGAGTCTACATTAAGATGTCTTCCAAAAACAATGTCCCCTCGATCTTCTTCGCCCACCTGGCACCTTCGCCGCCCACAGCCCGGCGCCCGCCGCGGCCGCGGCGCCGCGCCGATAGAGCGCGCCGCGGGCGCTCTGCCGCTGGGGCAGCCGTTGCTGCGCGGCCGCCTGCGACGTTGTGTGGCCTTCCAGCCTTCGTGCTTGTTGTGTGTCCTTGTGTCGGGCGAGGTAAGACCACAACGGTCGAAAATTCACCCAGGTTAGTAAGACATGCTCACAGAGCAGTGGATTTGGATGAAACTCTGGTTTCCGGGACAAACCCAAATGCCGCATGTCCTGTATAACTGTGCAACTATTCTTGTTCCCGAAAAGGAACACATCAAATACACAACTTCCCCCCGGGTTTAGATTCCAGAACGTGTCAGGATAATCAAATAGCTTAGTGACTGTCACTGGATGAATCGGGGTTAAGCCGGGGGATAAGAAACAATTGAAAAAAGACTTCAACTATTACTGCAGCCACTCGAAAAATGTCTCACCACCCAGATGCTCCAAACAGCCCTTGGTCCCTCAAAACCTATAGGGATTTGAGACCCCAGACCCCTCCATATCAAGGTCCGACCCCTCCATATGAGGGTCCAGGGTCGCGTCTGGGCACCTTATGCCTAAACAAAACGTCTCCCGAACCACTGAACCGCCACGTTCCCTCCTTCCCTCCACCTGCGCCATGCGCCCTTGTCGCGCCGCGAAGGCCAACGCCGTGGGAGCGGTCGGCTTCGGCGGCACCAGGTGCCGCAGCAGCACGCTGCAAGGACTGACGGGAGTCCCACCGGGGTCCCACCGGCGCACAGCGACGCGGGTGACGCGGGTGACGCGGGTGACGCGGGTCGCGACTTCGGCTTCAGCCCGGTGGCTTGGTGGTCTTGGCGGGTCACGCTTCGGGGATGGTGCCGAGTCTCGCAGGTGCGTGCCGACGTGCCGTAGTGAAGATGAGATGATGAGCGCCTCACAAAGGTGCAGGTGTTGGTAGGTATTGAGACCTCTTTGGCTTCAACATCTTCATCCTCCTTGGGCTACACCAGGTGGGGTTGGATCATCTTCAACATCTGAAATGAGAATTGCTTCCCAAGTTCCCGTGGTTGGACTCTTTCATCGTCCAAACTTCTGCTGGGTGAGACCTGGTTCTCTCCCTGGCGCCTCGTCCATCCCTCGGAGGACGAGTGGTCCCATCCTTCACACGACGGAGCATCCCCATCGACCTTGCATGGCCCTTGGATCATCCCCATCGAATCCACGGCTCGTATCCAGATCGTGGCGACGTTCGTCCCCTGATTCGCAGACGCTTCTGGGACTTACGGGAGACGTCTCATGCAGAATGACATGCCCAAGTTTCTGACAGGGGGTCCACTCTGGAACAGAGATTTCACCAGCCCACAGCGTCAACCGCATCAGCAGTTTCTTCTGTCTTCCAGTTCAGTTCGTGAAAAAAAAAAACTGCGGCGCTTCCATTTTAAGACCATTCCATGCAAGCTCTTCAAAGCTCCTGAGCGTTCGGCAACAAAGTTAAGGGTACCTGGCCAGTGCTGCGATCCTGCAAAACCTCTCAGGAAATTTCTGGTGGTAAGAAACAGCTACGTTGGGTGCAAGGAACCATAGTCATATGACCTTCATACATATGGGATCAGGGTAAATGATGGCCTTTTTTGTCTCTTCAAAATTCAGGGAAAAAATGACCTCTAAAAATCATGGCAACTGTCCTTCCGTGTTGTTCATCTGTCTTTCCAGTCTTGGCGTTGAACATCTGTCCTCCCGAACGCCCGCAAAAAGTGAAACACCGAGGCTCGCTTTCGGCGAGCCCACGAAGGGAGAGGGGAAGCCGCGGCAGTCGCCGCAGCAGTCGCCCGGAATAGTTTGTAAGCGCGGAGAGGCAGAATGAGGCTCGTTTTTGCTTCGAAAAAGGCTTGGGCATATGGGAGGTGTCTAGCTTAAGCATGCTTATAAGCAATTACTGTGCCCCGTTCTTCCTTTTTGCTTGAGATTACTACAGGAATCTGTAGTTTAACCTGCAGATCTCAGGGCGGTGTCTTCTGCCAACCGTGCGCTTCTTCCGGCATCGTGAAGGCTTCTCTACCTCGGCTCTTCTTTTCCCGCGACGAAGGCGGAGTACTTACCGCCCAAGCCAGAATCCGTCGACGAGGCCCGAACCCATGACAGGGGGTCAAGGAAACCTGAAACCCATTGGGTTGAGGGTGATTCTGAAAGGAAGAAGGTCATCTGGACTAAGACTAGTCCATCTTGTTAGCGCCGCTCAGTTCGGCGGCCCGTCGGTAACAAATGAACGCACTGCATCACAAAGAACAAAAGCGGACGGTGCGAACTTTCATATCTGGGAACCTCTCCAGCACGGACATCGAAGAAAATTGGAATGCCGGACTGACTTTCTCCATCAACTTGCATCTATCTTGGGCTGTGGAAGAATTCTGCAGAACTCAACTCCTCGCAACGCTCATCGAGCAAGGGGTGACTCGTACGTGGGAATAGGGAAACCACCCGACATACCCCCACAAGTCCAAGGGCCAAGTCAAACCTGGTCCTTGACCTCATTGAGTACTGGTTTTGCATTTTCCCAGTCAAGTCCTTGACCTGTAGGGATACCATAACACCTCCAAACTCCGCCCACGAAGCCAAAGGGTTTCTTTGCACGAAGATAACAACAGCACCTTCTTTTCCAAGCCAAAGGAACCCTCAAAAAGGACCTCAATCAACCACCTCACAGTGTCCACTCACGTCTCACCCCCAAGACGTGGGGCGTGTGTCGCCGGCGATGGGCGGTCGGCCGTGCTGGCGAGTCGCTTGCGCTTCTTCTTGCCCTTGGACTTGTTGGCCTCCGCCCGCAAGGCTGCTTCCTCGCTCATCTCCTCACCAGCCACACTGGAAAGGGGAAGGACACGCCAGACAGCCCGACGGGGTCTGCCTTTCCAGACCGCCAGACAGCTGTGAGAGGGCCAAAAGGTGCGAAACAGGTCTCGCTCACATGCGAACAGAGGTTAAGTGACCGCAAATAGGACCCTACTGGAGCACCTATAGGATAGTCTATAGGGTTCTTCAACCCCTCCTGGTGTGAGCGAACACGGCTAGGACTCGGGCGAACCCTTTGACCCGGACCAACGGTGGACTGGAGAGGCAGCAGCAGCTACGACGGGACGAGACCCTTCGCGGGCTACGACGGGGCACCGTCCCAAAGTGATTCCGATTCTTCGGGGGCGGTTCCAACCCATCGGGAGAAAAGAAAGCTGGGATTCTAGGCATTTGGAGCTGGACCCCAGGACCCCTGGTTCTTCCCTGATGTCAACCCAACTTCCCAGACACACGCGTTTTTCCGCAGGGCTCTCCAAGTTCCCACGAGCCGCTCGCACCGTCCGGGCCGTTCGGGCGAGTGCCCAGTCCTCCTGCTTGCGCCTCTCCTCTTCCGCCTTCTCCTGAATTTCTTCCACCCACCTCACCGGCGCACAAAGGTTCCGCGCGCACGCGAGGCGCACGAACCGCGCACGCAAGCGCGTCCGCTGCGTCGGCTGCCACTCAGTCGATGAGTTGATGAGTCAGGTTGTGCGTGGATTTGAGTCTCAAAAGGAGGCAGCCAACTTCCAATGGCTGTTGCCGGCCCTTTCTGACGAACCTGCAATGACTAAGAGCCAGCTTGTCCAGAATCGACATTCGATGTGTCAATGATGCATCAGAAGTTCGAAGCGTTCGAAGGCAGTGTCTCAGTTCATGTATTCGTGTTTGTTCGCATGTTGGAGGATACATTTGTAATTTATAGTCTATCCCAGGATCCCAAACACTACATTGGGGTGGTTTGGGGGGGTCAATGTATACTTACATGGAAGCGGAAAACCCCTTCGTTCGCAAGCCAAGTCGTCTTCCTCTCCGGGATGTGGACCATGTTTCATCCACGTCATCATGCGATGTGCAACGTTCGTCAGAGGTGTTCATGAAAACCCCGGTGCACCTCTCTGCGCACCCTCTGAACCACCCATCACCTTCTCGGCGACGCCAGAGAACCGGTCAACCCCGCCTCTCGCTGCGAGCCTTCATGCGGTTCAGGCGGCGTTCCTGAACCGAAGGAGACTAAGACCACCGGACCGGAATCCGTTCCAGGCGTTCCTTTTTGCCGTTTGAAACCTTTGGACCGGAAACCTTTGTTCCTCTCTCCGGTGGCGGAAAAAAGAATCGTTGGTTTGGGGCCTGGGGGGAGAAGTTCCTCTGCAAATGTGCGGATGCTTGCTTTCTTGAGAAGAGTCTGTGGAAAGAATCCCAACACTCAGAACCCCGCTCGAGTGAAGAATCTGCCCTAGTCTTCAGAGTCTCTACCTGGAGATATGCCCTTTAGGTGGACCCAGCCATGGAAGCAGAAGCCTCAACATGAAAGCTCAAATGGCACACGGGACTCTAAGCTTTCCAAACCACTGGGACACTGGGATGCTGAATTTCAAGAACCTCCCGTGACGTCTGTGGCCAGCAGCACTCGATACCGGCCTGCATGGCTTCGATCTCCAGTCTCATGGCTTCCACTTGCATGGCATGCTGTCGGCACCTGCCCGCTGCGCACAATAGAGCGCCCACCCAAAAACACGGCGAACATGGGAAGAAGCGACCCACCCACACACCGAGCGTCATCGATCATGACGAACAAAACAAGCCGTTCAGTGTTCTTGGGCTTTACAACTGTTCTCTGCGATGCATTAGCTTTCTACGGACCTGTCGCAGACCCCCATCTCATGGCCCGCCTGAACTCCTCGTTGTAGAGCGCAAAGCGTTCGCGGCGCTCGGCACGTCGGATGGTGCCTGTGCTGCTTAGCGCACGGAAGGGTTCCAAACGTCAAGGAGGTGCTCAGGTGTTTAAACGTGTTCTTTCACCAAATGGACCCCAAAAACACCTGCAAACGGGAACCAAGTGCGGCACTGTGTCCGTCTGGTGTCTTCTACTTGAGGCCAAGGGGGGGGGGGGGGAAAGGCTGGGGCTCCGGAATGGGAAAGTGGAGGGCAGCGAGGTAGGAAAAAACACGGCGCTCTTTTTGGAGGCAGGGGTGAAGAGTCCTTTTTATGTGGCTCTTTGCCCGGATCCTCCTGCGAGAGAAGAGAGAGAAGAGAGAGGAAAGACGAGAGACAGAGAGGAGAGAGAGAGAGAGAGGAGAGAGAGATGAGAGAGATGAGAGAGATGAGAGAGATGAGAGAGATGA